GGTAGGCAGTGGAATTCAGTGGATTTGGGCTCAGCTGCTGTGGTTGTGGCTATGCATTTGCTCTGTCTACTTGCACCCTTTAACTTCAATTGGGCTGCTGTTGGAATTGCATTTGGCTTATATATAGTAACTGGACTTTTGGGGATTACTCTTTCTTTTCACAGAAACCTCTCTCACAGAAGTTTCAAACTTCCCAAGTGGTTAGAATACTTTTTTGCCTATTGTGGTGTCCAAGCACTTCAGGTAAATAAAATCAGTGCGTTAATTTTATCTAGTACAGTATTTGGCTTTTATAATTTCACTGTGGTTTATATTTGTTGATATGTGTGATTGTAGGGAAATCCAATTGATTGGGTGAGTACTCATAGGTATCATCATCAATTTTGTGATTCTGATAAAGATCCTCACAGTCCTATTGAAGGATTTTGGTTCAGTCATATGAGTTGGATGTTCGATACTGACACCATTGTTGAGAGGGTAATTGCTTCATTCTACTGTATCTTTATATATAGTACTACAAAATATAGAAATTTTTTGTGTATTAATTGTGTTTGTTTATTATGTCTTTTTTAATGTGTAGACAGGAAAGCCCAACAATGTGGGGGATTTGGAGAAGCAGCCTTTCTATCAGTTTGTTCGTGACACTTACGTTTTCCATCCCGTCGTACTTGCAGCTCTGTTATATGCAATGGGAGGATTTCCTTATATTGTTTGGGGCATGGTAAGTGCAGCTTTTCTTCCTCTGCACAACTGCTTTTGTGGAGAAACCTTTCATTTTCCCCTTTCAACATTTTGGGAAAACAATTGGAATGGGGAAAAGGATGATTTTGTTGATAGAACTTATACTAGTATGATTTAATTTCCACATAGACAACCCTGAAGCTTGAAATACCATATGTGCAAATGAGTAAAAGGAAATTTACATAAGGTGGTGTGGCTTATGAAGTTTGCTGTTTAATTTGTTTCTATTTAGGTATTTTTGATTTTTTTTTTTTGTTGGTATTTATAACAATGTTTAGAAAGTATTATCTTTTCAAATATCCCAATATGTTTATGTGTCTGCCAGCCTAACTCAAGTTGTGAGCCAATCTTGTGTAAGAAAACTGACCGTTAATAGAGGCGGACCCAAAATTTTAATACGATATTTTGTTCAATCATTGCCCCTAAAGGCTTTTAGCGTTCAGGATGCCAAGCGATTTAATTTAATCATTTTTATGATATATACATAACATATACAAGACTTCTGTCGTAGTTTACGAGGTCCGGTGACCCCTCAATATAATACATAGTTCCGCCTCTGCCCGCTAGAGTACTGTATTTTCATCATGTGTCAAATCTCCCAACGGTTTTGGATATTTCTACCCGCCTAACTCAAGTTGTGAGCCAATTTTGTGTGTTAGACAATTGCTGTTGTATCTCTTGTTAGGGTCCTTAATTTTTTTGATAAAACGAACAACAGGACAAGCTTATTCAAGTGTGAATTCGTTGCTATTATGCATCTAGTGCTAGGAGATTTTGAAATTTCATTTGCTAAATTTGCTGGGGCATGTNGCAACAAGATTTTGAAAATTCATTTGCTAAATTTGCTGGGGCATGCAGGGGGTGAGAATTGTGTGGGTATACCACATAACTTGGCTGGTAAATTCAGCATGCCATGTTTGGGGAAAGCAGGCGTGGAATACTGGTGACCTTTCAAGGAACAACTGGTATGCATCGTTAATTTTTTATCGTTCGTGTGTGTATAGAAGTTAAACTCATCCAATTTTTTCAACTCCGTCAAGATAATTGATTTGATCCAATATAGGTGGGTGGCGTTGCTTGCATTTGGAGAGGGTTGGCACAACAACCACCATGCGTTTGAGTATTCGGCTAGGCACGGCTTAGAATGGTGGCAACTTGACATGACTTGGTATGTAGTGAGGTTTCTTCAAGCTATTGGATTGGCCACTGATGTCAAGTTGCCAACTGACACTCACAAACAGAGGCTGGCTTTAGCAGACAGTTAGGACAAAATACAATATTGTTTGAGGTTCAACTTCGTCGATGTGTATCACATGAAATTAAGATTTTTGAGTGACTCGTTGCCTACTAATGTAACTAAGGTGAGACTATACATTGAGCACACGGGTGAAGCTTCTTTCTTCTACTACTCATTTTGTAACCACATTTGCTCAATTACTAGCACTTTTGCCATAGTTTCCATTAAAGTTGATAGCTGTTATACTATGGAAAATTGTCAGTTGGATGGGGCTTAAAGAGTCCCTTTAATTTAAGAAGCAGATGTTTATGCGAATGGCGGCTCGTAGCATTTGCCAAAGGAAATTAGGCTTGCTAACATCATAGCATATTCTAAAATGGGTTGCATAGGTTAATGAGGGGATTGTATTAGAGATCATATCTTAATTGTATGTCTGCATGCTGATGACAATATGCTGAATTACACCGTTAGTAAATAACAAAATGGTTGTAACAGAATAAATCCCAACGAATAAAGAATGTATTTTACACCGTTAGTCTTGAGAATATCAGGTAAATTTTAGAAATGATCAACAAATTGGGAACCATACACAATTTCTGATTAAAAATACATAGATTCATGTCTTTAATACATGTCTCAGTTATTTCCTGCTTATCTTTTATACTTATCTCCCTAGGGAATTTTCTGGAACTACTATTGTTTAGTGGCTATTAACTTTTTATAGCTACCATATACATATTTACTTTCTATAACTATTATTTAGTTGTTACGCGACTCTATTCGTTGTATTCGCGCTACTGTATTCATGAATACAGTAGCAGAATTTCCCTAAAAAATAGGGGAGTTCAATTGTGCGACTGTATTCGGTGTATTCGTGCTACTGTATTCATGAATACAGTAGCGGAATTCGCGTAAAAAATAGGGGAGACCAGCTATTTAATAACGGAAATAGAATCAATTAGCATGTATCACTCCTACTTTAACTCAACAAAATTAATTTTAAATAAATTTTGCTGCTATGCGACTGAATTCATTGTATTCGTGCTATTGTATTCATGAATACAGTAATAGGGGAGTCCAGATGTGCAACTATATTCGTTGTATTCGCGCTATTGTATTCATGAATACAGCAGCGGAATTCGCGTAAAAAATAGGGAAGTCCAGCTCTTTAATAACGAAAATAGGATCAATTAGCATGTATCACTCCTAATTTAACTCAAAAAAATTAATTTTGCATATATTTCGCTGCTACGCGACTTTGTTTGTTGTATTCGCGCTGTTGTATTCATGAATACAATAATAGAGGAGTCCAGATGTGCAACTGTATTCGTTGTATTCGCGCTACTGTATTCATGAATACAGTAGCAGAATTCGCCTAAAAAATAGGGGAGTCCAGCTGTGCAACTGTATTCGTTGTATCTGCGCTATTGTATTCATGAATACAATAGCGGAATTAGCGTAAAAAATAGGAGAATTAGGCTATTTAATAACGGAAAGAGAATCAATTAGCGTGTATTAGCAGAATTCGCCTAAAAAAATAAGGGAGTCCAGCTGTGCAACTGTATTCGTTGTATCTGCGCTACTGTATTCATGAATACAATAGCGGAATTAGCGTAAAAAATAGGAGAATTAGGCTATTTAATAACGGAAAGAGAATCAATTAGCGTGTATCACTCCTAACTTAACTCAACAAAGTTAATTCTACATAAGTTTCGCTGCTACGCGACTGAATCCGTTGTATTCGCGCTATTGTATTCATGAATACACTAATAGGGGAGTCCAGATGTGCAAGTGTATTAGTTGTATTCGCGCTACTATATTTATGAATACAGTAGCAGAATTCACCTAAAAATAGGGGAGTCCAGCTGTGCAACTGTATTCGTTGTATCCGCGCTACTGTATTCATGAATACAGTAGCGGAATTCCCGTAATAAATAGGGGAATTAAGCTATTTAATAACGGAAAGAGAATCAATTAGCGTGTATCACTCCTAATATAACTCAACAAAGTTAATTCTACATAAGTTTCGCTGCTACGCGACTGAATTCGTTGTATTCGCGCTATTGTATTCATGAATACAGTAATAGGGGCGTCAAGATGTGCAAGTGTATTAGTTGTATTCGCGCTACTGTATTCATGAATATAGTAGCAGAATTTGCCTAAAAATAGGGGAATCCAATTGTGAGACTGTATTCGGTGTATTCGTGCTACTGTATTCATGAATACAGTAGCGGAATTCGCGTATAAAATAGGCGGAGTCCAGCTATTTAATAACAAAAATAGAATCAATTAGCGTGTATCACTCCTAATTTAACTCAACAAAATTAATTCTACATAAATTTTGCTGTTATGCGACTGAATTCGTTGTATTCGTGCTATTGTATTCATGATTACAGTAATAAGGGGAGTCCAGATGTGCAACTATATTCGTTGCATTTGCGCTATTGTATTCATGAATACAGTGGCAAAATTCGCCTAAAAATAGGTGAGTCCAGCTGTTTAAAAACGGAAAGAGGATCAATTAGCGTGTATCACTCCTAATTTAACTCAACAAAATCAATTCTACAGAAATTTCGTTGCTACTATGCAATATTCCTTGTATTCGAGTGACTGTATTTATAAATACAATGAGGTAATCAAGAAATAGGGTGTATACCTTTGTATTCAATTCGACTGTATATATTGTATTCAATTCACATATATTTATTATTCACTATTATACATTGAATTCAATATACCGTATTCAATTCAACTGTATTAAAACAACAAAAAATTACAAAACACAATGATATTCGGCTGTATTCAAAAAATACAGACCTTCAGAATACATAAATACATGCAAAAAATAATGTATTTATATAAAAATACAATATATTTGAGTGTATTTGTACAGAATACAATATATTTGTATCATTGTACGTGACTAAAAAAGCAAAGAAAAGAAGAAATCTTGTCGGATATGGCTTTTTTCTGTCAAGCAAAATACTGTATACATTGTATCAAAACTAAAAATGGAGACGAATAAAAATCCGGCCCTCAAATCTTCTCTGGCATAGCTAAAGCCATGGCCAGATTTGTTCGCCTAAGAGGGTGAGCCAATAATGGATGATGTTGCCGACGATTCTAACATCGACGATCAAAATTGAGTGCCTTAGTGGGTATACCTCGTGTAACCCTCTTCGGAGTTGTTGAATCAGCCATTGCAGACGAAATTTGAAGTTTCTTCCTCAAAGCCTAAGAATGGCGAAAATTTTAAACAAAAAAGTGAAGAGAAAAAGAAGAATGACATAGTAATTTGGCGTGAACCGGCCAAAAGCTTTACCAATTACCACTAACTTTTAGAGCAAAAAAGTTGAGGATCAATTCTGAGAAATTTGTTCCTACGATCCTGTTGTGAGAGAGAGATTGTGGAGAGAGAAAGAAGAAAAATCTTGCTACGATTTGAGAGAGAATGTGTGTTAACTGAAAGAAAGAGAGAAAATAATATAAATAGCGTATTTCACGCCTATATAGCAGTGTATACAATAAATACCTATTTTGCTATAGAATATAAAAGGTAACTATAGATAATAATATTTTAAAATAATTTTGATTTATAATAAATAAGGAATAATAATTTGCTATAGAAGCTAAATTTACTATATTTATAGCCCACTCATTCTTGGAGCAGAGGTTGCTTAGTTTCAGTAATGGGCCTTACAGGGGATTAAATCAGTAAAAATTGCGCGGGGCGTCCTATTTGGTCGCCCCTATTTAACCTATACCCATTTTTTAAAAAAAATTTAACTTGTACCCACTTTTAAAATAAATTCAGCCCCCTTTCTCCTCTTCCTTCCCCTTTTTCCTCATCCTTCTAATTTTTACCTTTTATGTAATACGTATTTATTTTTGGTGCTCAGCACACATTGAAACAATTTATGTTTGATTTAAATGTACATCTGTATTCTGTAATATAATACTTTTGAAGTTGTTGTTCTACTCATAATAAGAATTTATGTTGAATACGCTTGCATATTGATAGTTCTTTATCTTTATCAGGTAGGTTTAGAAGAGAACTTGTTTAAAATAAAATTTGAATTCAAGAGTATTAATAATTAAGTAAGCAAGAAATAACTGGAGTTTAAAATTACAAAACAAAAGCTAAAAAAGCAGAAGCTGAAGAAGAAAGAAAAGAACTGGAACACACAAGCACTAGAAAGAAAAGAGAACTAAATAACTTCAGCTCTAGAGCTGAAGTTCGTCAGTTACAAAACAAAAACTTCAGATCTAGAGCTGAAGTTATTTAGTTCTCTTTTCTTTCTAGTTGATCAACCGTGAAACACCAAAAACAGTAGTGATTTCCTCAGACTTCAGCTCTAGAGCTGAAGTTTCCTAGTTAGGATACAAAAACTTCAGCTCTAGAGCTGAAGTTTCCCAGTTACAACACAAAAACTTTAGCTCTAGAGCTGAAATTTCCCAGTTACAACACAAATACTTTAGCTCTAGAGCTGAAGCTTACAAACAAAAACTTCAGCTCTAGAGCTGAAGTTCGACAGTTACAAAACAAAAACTTCAGCTCTAGAGCTGAACTTCAGGCCCGGCTACTAGAATGCTGAAGTTTTGCGTGATTGTCTTTGCTACTTCAGCCCCGTCTGCTAAAGTTATGCAAAAAAGCGGGTACGCTTATAATTTTTTTGCAAAGCGGGCACAAGTTAAAACGTGACACAAAAGCGGGTATAGATGCAAATGCCCCATTAAATCATGGGAATCTTACATAAATGTATCAAAAATTTCAACTTATCAATCTTTAGCCATTAATTATAGACTTATCAAAACTAACCAAGCACATATAAAAATAGAAAACACAAATCAATAATGTTCTTTCTCTCCAAGAATCACACGCAAAGATCTCCTTCCTTATTTTTAAGCATGATCAGCAATAGTAGATGCAAGACGAAAGGAAAATTTTATGGATGAGTTAGCAAACAAGGTGATGAAATACAAAAATATATATATCTAGTATACAAAATTACAAAAATCTTAGCAAAAAGGGATATTTGTCAATGGGTATGGTTGAAACCCACTAAAAATATATAGGCGAGTCAATATACAATTTTTGAGAAAGAATGGAGATGATTAGACTGATTTGGTATCCAAACTCGTAGTTAAAATTGAGTTCAATAAATTCTTCTGCGACACATGTATCATACACACGAGTATATATGGATATACATGTGATACACATTTGATAGAAATATGATACATATGTGATACACAAATGATGCACAATGTGGTACACATCATTTTTT